CCAATCCTATGACATTTCATTTAAGGAACGGCAAGTCATACTCTTCATTGGCGCCCAACGTGGGGCCTCGAATCTCGCCGACGAACCGACAAGCGTGCACAAAATGTAGCGGACACAGCAAAGAGAGTCCACAATATCTCGCGTTTAATAGCGTGAATACCACCATTGTCGGAAGATCCTGTCCATTGGTCCACATCGAGATGTTTGGCTTGAAAGGAGAAGCTCTCTTCGACACGGGAGCGAAAACGTCTGTTGCCAGCGCTAACTTGAAGAAAATATTGTCGAGCAAGGGGTGTGTTTTCCAGGATGTCATGGCTGACGTCACGTTGGCAGATGGAAGCACTACCGCCCAAAAAGTGTTATCAACCATTTGCGACATCACAATCGGCCATAGAGTTCGGAAAATACGGATGATATCTCTTTCAAATGCTACGAAGAATCGTACTCTGATTGGAGCGGACTTTTTGGAACAAGCGGGCATTGTTGTGAATATGGCCCAACGCTACTGGTACTTCGAAGACGAGCCCAAGGTAAAATTTGACTTTGCCAAGCCAAGTGTAAGTGGTCTGCCGTCAGCTATAGACATAGCGGGCGCACATGTGGTAACGAGCAATCGACTATCGCCTCGTACTAAAGCGGTAAACGAGTACTCAAATTTCGTTCGCTACGTTATGAGGAGTGGCACTAACATCGACGATGCCGTTTCCCCAGAAATATCTCCTGAAAGAAACTATGGACCAGCAGTAAAAGAGAAACGCTCACACTCAAACGACTACTCTCCACACTCAGTGCAGCAAATTTTCAAAAGTTCACTACCAGTTGGCGAATCTACGCCCGAAAACTCCTCTCGTCTATTTGCGCCTCCAATTAAGGTAAAAATTAGTGGTTACGAAGAGTTTTGCGAAGAAAATTTTTTTCCGTTGAACTCTCTTGAGTTGAGTCCACCAACTCAGACAGGTGGTTGCGATCTCACGCTTGAACAGCGTAGAGATTTGGACAAGCTGTTGCTCGAACATAACGAAGTCTTCGAAGAGTCAACATTTGCAACACCGTTTGCCACACACA